GGTGGATTGACACAGGTGCAACTGTTCATGTTGCTAATTCCTTACAGGGATTCCATTCGACGAGGACTACGCAAAGAAGAGAAAGACATGTTAAAGTTGCAAATGGAGTCCAAGCAGATGTCGAAGCCATTGGCGGTCTTTCTCTAGAGCTTGCTGATGACTTCACACTTTTACTTAGAGATGTACTTTATGTTCCCTCTTTACAGAGGAACTTGATTAGTCTTTCATGCTTGGACATTGATGGATATGATTGTCATTTTGGAAATGGCAAATGTAAGATAACATTTAATAATGCATGTGTTGGTCTTGTCATCTTACAAAATGAGCTTTATTTGTTATCACTACGTGATTATTTGAATGTTGTATGCGATGATGGGAACGTTGCGTGCGACAATGGAAATGTATCCTCGTCTGCGAATGTAAACAGAAAACGAAAGAGAGCTCACGATGCGTCGTCGAAATTATGGCACTGTCGTTTAGGCCATATTTCGAGAGAAAGAATAGAAAGACTAGTTAAGAATGATATTCTTCCTCCATTAGATCTTTTAGATTTATAACAATGCAGAGAATGCATAAAAGGAAAGTATATAAAGAAAATTAAGAAAGATGCCAAACAAAGCGTATGAATTTTATAGATTATTCACACAGACATATGTAATCCGTTTCCTATAAAGAGTGTGGATGGTTATGATTCGTTCATAACATTCACAGATGATTACTCCCGTTATGGCTACTTTTATTCAATCAAAGAAAGAACAGAAGCATTGGATAAATTTAAAATATTTAAGGCATAAGTTGAAGACCAACACAATTTAAAGATTAAGATAGTTAGATCCGACCGTGGGGGGAGTACTACGGTCGGCATACCCCATATGGCCAAGTTCCTGGACCTTTTGCAAGGTTCTTACAAGACAATGGTATAGTAGCCTAGTATTCTACACCGAGCGAACCTCAGCAGAATAGAGTAGCTGAAAGATGCAATCGTACCCTGATGGATATGGTGCGCAGTATGATAAGTTACTCCACCTTACCGTTGAGTCTGTGGATGGAGGCGTTAAAAACCGCCATTCATATTCTCCATAGAGTACCAAATAAGTCGGTGCCCAAAACACCGTATGAGTTGTGGACAGAAAGAGTACCCTCACTAAATCACTTACGTGTGTGGGGGAGTCCTGCTGAGGTTAAAGTATTTAACCCAAATATTGAGAAGCTAGATCCAAAAATAGTAAGTTGTCATTTCATTGGCAACCTAGAAAAGTCAAAATATTTTCGTTTCTACTGTCCAGATAGACATACAAAGTTTATAGAAACGAGACACGTTGTTTTGCTAGAGGATGAAATGATGAGGAGGAGCATGGTAGCTCAAGAAATTGACCTTGAAGAGAAGCGAGTGTATGCGCCTACTCCGATGATTCATGAGCCATTTTTCTCACTACCTGTTGTCGCTATATCAACAGTGCAAGATACTGTGGTGCTAGCACCTGTTGTTATTTCGTCTGTGGCAACAATGAATGACGACGAGGAACCTGTTCTTCAGGATCCTGTAGAAACTGTTGCCACACACGAGGAGGAGCAACAACATCCTCAAACAGAAGATGTGCCAAATGTGGAGGCCCCTATAAGGTCTCAAAGAGTTAGAAAATCAGCTATTTCTGCTGACTATGAAGTATACATCATTGAGAAATTTCAAATGGGGGATGATCCCACCTCATTTGAAGAAGCCATGAGAAGTGATCATTCATCAAAGTGGCTTGAGGCCATGAAAGATGAAATGAAATCGATGAATGTCAATAAAGTTTGGGACTTGGAAATAATTCCTAAAGGAGCCAAAATAGTAAGCTGTAAATGGGTCTACAAAACAAAACTTGACTCTTAAGGGAATATAGAGAGATATAAAGCGCGACTTGTGGTAAAAGGCTTTACGCAAAGAGAAGGGCATTGATTACAATGAGACCTTTTCTCCAGTCTCATGTAAGGATTCCTTCAGAATCATAACGGTATTAGTGGCACATTACGATTTAAAATTACATCAGATGGATGTAAAGACGGCATTTCTCTATGGGGACTTGGAGGGAATGTTTACATGGCACAGCCGAAAGGTTTTGTCATGGAAGAAAAAGAACGAATGGGATGCCGCCTAAAGAAATTCATTTATGGATTAAAACAAGCTTCAAGATAGTGGTACTTGAAGTTTGATCAGACAATAAAGAATTTTGAGTTTAAAGAGAATGTAGAGAACAATTGTGTCTATGCAAAGTTTAAGAATGGTAAGTTTATCTTCCTTGTCCTATATGTGGATGATATCTTACTTGCTAGTAGTGATGCCAGTCTACTGCTGGAGACAAAGAAGTTTTTGTCCTCAAAATTTGATATGAAAGATCTTGGTGAAGCTTCGTTCATTCTAGGGATTGAGATTCACCGAGATAGAAATAAAGGAGTATTAGGACTGTCACAAAAGGCATACATAGAAAAGATCTTAAAGAAATTCAGTATGCATAAATGTAGTCCCTCACCTGCTCCTATAGTCAAGGGCGACAGATATGGGGATTTTCAATGCCCCAGGAATCAGTATGAGATCGATCAAATGAAAACGGTTCCATATGCTTCAGCTGTCGGAAGCTTGCAATATGCTTAAATATGTACGCGCTCTAACTGAACATTTGTTACCGGGTTACCTGGCAGATTCCAGAGCAATCCTGGTACAAAACACTAGAAATTAGTAAAGAAAGTCTTGCGTTATTTGCAAGGAACGAAAAACCTCATGATGACGTATAGAAGATCAAATTCACTCCATATAGTGGGATATTCAGATTCTGATTATACGGAAGATGATAGAAAATCCACGTCTGGATATGTATTCACTCTCGCAGGGGAGCTATTTCATAGAAAAGCTCAAAGTAAACCGTCATTACATCGTCCACAATATATGCCGAGTTTGTAGCGTGTTATGAGGCAACGGGGCAGGTGAACTGGGTAAAGAAGTTCATACCCGGTTTGAAGGTGGTTGACGACATCTATAGACCACTTAAGTTATACTACGATAATAATCTGGCAGTACAGTATGCTCACAACAATAAGTCAATTGGTGCTACCAAACACATTGACATAAAGTATTATGTTGTGAAAGATAAAGTCCGGGATCATGTCATAGGTCTTGAGCATATAAGTACCAAAAAGATGCTCGCGGATCCGCTTACAAAAGACTTACCACCCAACGTGTTCAGAGAACATAGAACATGTAGCCGGCATAGGTTTAAGGGAAAGCTTATAATTTCTGGACAAAAGAAGGCTCAAAGTTAAGTATCAATTTCAGAATAGAGTGGTGTCTTGTAGTTGTTAAATCTATCGGCAATTGACCTTGACGATGAAACATGCTCTATGCGCTAATCTGTAATGGAATGAACAAAAGTAAATGACATAAAATTGAAAGATGGTAGGAGATCAAGAGGGAGATTGTTAGATTGATCTCTACTTCCAAACTGGGCCCAACGGTCCAATTGAGCCTTTGATCCGCGCCCTGATCGGCGGCGTCCAGCCCACTATGGCTGGAGGGCTCCTATCACACTACGCAATAAATAGAGGTGGAGACCGACGGCTCTGAGTACGAGGCTCGCCTGAGCCGAGCTCCCCACCGAAATTCCTAATCCGATCTAGAGGGTGCGCAGCCAGTGACGAAAAACACCTCCAACACTGCACTGCACTGCCACCGGTCTTCACCGCCGATCGCCACCGCTCATCACCGTCACCGTCCTCTTCCCCGACCGTTGCTGCCTTCGCGCAGACACCGACTCCATGGCGGACGCGAGCGGATCCTCCTCCAAGGGCACAGACGGTCAGCCCTTTCCATCCCTTCCTCTCCCTCTAGATCTAGCAGTTCAAAGTTTTAGGGTGTGTTCATCATGTTTATAGTAAGATGTACCCACTAGATATACGGCTAAGGTCATGTTCTTGGCTAAGATTAACCAATGCAGTCAGACTATCTGCTGAAATGACTCCATTGCGTGTGCCGATTCGTCCTTGGCAAATTGCTGACCATTTCTTGAACCGAGCCCGTAAGGGACACGGGAGAAGACGTAACGCGTAGGAGCCCAAGCTGCAGCAGGCACATTACATTTGAGTTCCCTCTCCCAATACCAGCAAATCCATCAACTGCTCCTCTTACGTTAACACGCACACGCCCAAGCACACCATTCCCACCACCCTGGGCATCCGCAAGCGCTGCTCCGGTCATGCTCCTGCCTGTAGTGTGTATGTGAGCTCACATATGCTAAGCACAAGAATTACTTGTGTATCAGCGAGATTCTCCTTGCTGTCACAAGAGAACCAGATCGGCTCTCCGGGCTGCCATGCATGTCGTGGCATGCGCCATCTAGCCGAGGCGAAGAAAATGTGACGTGTTCCGAGGTGGCAATGTTAGATATGAATCGAACAGGCCTTAGTCAGCCAACTAACAGAACTTGTATTTCATTTTTGTCGGAACAGACAATCTCCACAGTCAAGGAGCTTAATTAGCAAAGTTCTGAAGCAAACTCTTTCTTATTCATCACGTTGAACAGCCAAGTCCACAAGCCACAAGCACCGGAGAAACTAATGTACAAGTGCCAGGATAAGGAAAAGGCAGGAAAAAGGGAAAAAGAAAACAAAGTTCTTTTTTTTTAGCCTGAACTCCTAGTGTAAAATACAAGTTATAGTATCTATACTCTACGCAACGCACGGACACCACCACACACACACGCACACAACAAAGTTCTAGTAACAAGGCAGACTCTTCCGTCCTGTTTCTCTGTAGCACTAGCACTGGCCCAGTCGGAATGATGGAGCCCTCTAGCTGGTTTCAGAAAATGGATGGATGCAAGTCTTGACTTGTGCTTGGAACTAGGTAGAAAGACCACGGACAGGGGCAACGGCGAACGGGAGAGAGGGCTGGGCAGAGGAGGTTGCAGTGCAGACATGGGACATGGTTTGGTTGGTGAGCAGAGCAGAGCCGTGGACATGTCGTCCTAGCTGGCGTCGTCCCAGGCGGCGGCCCAGTTGGTGGCGCTGCCGACGCGCGGCATGGAGTTGATCTTGGTGAAGGTATCGACCTTGAAGGTGGCGCCGCACATGGCGCCCTCGCTGTCGACGCGTGGCATGGCCTTGAGCCTGTTCATGGGGTGCTCGAAGCTCTTGAGCCCGCCCTCGCTGTGGAACATGCAGCCCGCGGGGAAGGGCGCGTACGACTTGCCGCACCCGCGCTTCACCACGTCGCGGTCGTCGCTGATCACCGCGGACCCGTCAGCCGCCACGCCCCAGTACAGCGGCACGGAGTCGCCGCCGTCGTTCCCGCCCAGCGCGGCGAACACGGCGCCGGAGCGGTTGTCAAAGACGACGAAGGCGAAGGCGCCGGCGAGGTCCTTGACGACCTGGTCGGCCGGGTACGGCCCGCGGTCGCGCAGCGTGCGGTAGGCCTCGATGACCAGCAGCGCCTCGTTGGTGGACCGCCCGCACAGGCCGTACTGCCGGATGAGGCCGCTCAGGTTGTCGAGCCGCCCCAGGAAGACGCAGTAGATGTCGTCCAGGCCGCAGAACATCCGCTGGTAGCCGCCGGAGGAGGCGGAGGCGGAGGTGGGGAACCGACGCAGGCGAGCGAGCGCCGCCGCCGAAGGAGGTGGAGAAGGCGTCGGTAGGGTGCGCGGCGTGGAAGTCGCGCAGGATCTCGTCGGGGTACCGGGGCTTGTTGTTGGACGACGCGCCGCCGCTCCGGGGGCTGTTGAGCTCCTGCGGCGCGTGCGCCACCTGCTTCTGGAAGATGGCCAGCATCCTCGTTCTGCACTAGTAGTGCACTGCAGGGTCTGGATGGAACGGAACGGAACGGAGAAGAGTGCCGGAATTGGATGGGAATGAAATGCAATGGAATGGAGGCGGGGATAGAGTAGAGATGTGGCGCGCCTTTTATAGCAGGCAGGGACAGGAATAGGATAGCGTGGTGGTACGTGTACAATATCCATTCCGTGGACCCAAGGAGAGCGTGGAATAGAGTAACGTGGGAGTGAGTGCTGCTGCTGACGTGTAAGGGAGATGGGAAAAAGGCCCGAGAGGATAAGATCATCACGTAGTAATACCGGTTGCTAATGATGATGTTACAGCAGTACTAGTGCTGGTAGTCGCTTCCATTTGGGAAACGTTATCCGGCGGGCCACGTGCCGCGGATTGCCATCTTTTGATACCGCCTGTTTTTTTTTTCCTTTGCTCCTGCCGTGCAAGTGAATGAAGGAATCCAAAACACATGAATATGAAAAAACGCAGGAATAAAATATGATGAAAAGTGAAAAATTATGGAATTTCAAAACACAGGAATAGAAAATTTAGGCTGTTTGGAACACAGAAATTTATAACACAGGAATCTTCTCCACCCCGCAGACGATAACCGCGCAGCTGCATTGGGCTTCCACGAAGGATCGAAAAACTAGAGGCAGGAGCGGATGTTTTTTTCCCGTGAAATCATATTGTTGCTACAGTATTCCAGAGGAAAGGATTCGTTGGTTTCCTTTGTTCCAAACGCTATGATCATCTTTTTTTCCTCCATTTTGATTTCCTTCACTTTTCTTTTGAAAAAACCGTGTTTCAAATAGGCCCTTAGCGTTTTTTTACTCTAAGTACGGAGGAGTATTTACCATGGATGGATGTGATTTTTTTTTGGTAACTAACAGTTCATTACGTCCTCCTATTTATTTAGCTTATAAACCATACTTTCTCGACCACGACAAATCATTCAGATCGAACAGAGCAAAGGACATGGGCGGATAAGATAACTGACGGCGATGCGTGGCGGCTAGCCGGCTACCCACCCACCGGTGCTGGTCGAAACCAGCTGCCGCGGAGGCGTCCCTGTGGGCAGCAGCCGTCAGTTTGGTACGGCTCACCACCATTCGCAAGGACCGAACCCAGCAATTTGTCACCGAAAAAAAAAACAGGCCCCACTCGCCCTCGCGGTCGCCGGCTCGCGGCAGCAGCCTGCTGCTGACAGGGCGCGCGTCACGTCACGACACGACGCTTGGTCCATTTCCAGCGTGTCTGCGCGCAGAGACTGATACGGCCGGGCCCGCTTCTCCCCATGCTGCCTCGCGTCGCGTGCGTGCCTGGCGGTGGGCCGTGGGGTGGGTGGGAAAGGTGGCGCGGCTGGGGCCTTATTTATAGATTTCCAAGTTTTTTCACTCTCTTCATCACATCAAATCTTTGAACACATACATAAAGTATTAAATATAGATAAAAAAAATAACTAATTATACAGTTTAATTATAAATTACCGAGACGAATCTTTTGAGCCTAGTTATGTTATAATTATATAATAATTGTTAAATATAAACAAAAGTATTATAATACCAAATACTGATTCCGTTACGGGTATCTAAACCAGGCCTGCCTGGATACGCTACGCCGGCGCCGCGTGTGCACGTCTGGTTGGGGTGGTCCCGCGGATCGGATAGGGATAAGGCTGGCACGGCATGGCCGCCGGGGACACGTCACCGTGCGTCGGACAGGCCCTCCGCTCCGTTTTCCATTGGCGTCCCCGCGCGGTTGGGCCAGACCTGGACCGGACTTCCCGCCACGGGACGAGGACGACCCACCCATGACCCACCGGCGTGAGCGGCTCAGGTGTCCACCTCGGCCCCGGCTCACCTTTTCTATCTCGTGTGTTGGTGTTGAGCACTCCTCGGTACGTTACTGACAGACGGGATCGACAGTACCCCCTCCCTCCCACAAAACACGTAAATCTTATTTTTTATGTTTAGTAAAAGTGTGAAATTATGTAGGGGTCTGTTCTACATCGTTCTTCGTTCAAAGTACATAGGATGAGTTGATTTTCGTGCATTGTTTTTTTATGGGTGGGGTCCATCTAAAAAGATAACCTGAACTATTGAAGTACAAGGATTTTGGGACAGGATTTGAACTGGATTACATGTTCTGTGGGACAGAGGGAGTAACTGTTAACTCCTCCACTTATGGCCTTTGTTTATCCTATAGCATTGCAATTAGCAAACATGTTAGAGCATCTACAAAAGACTCTCTAAAATAGATCTTTAAAAACTAGAATTTAGAGGATATGTAAAATAGATAGCCTTCCAAATAATTGAAGCACCGCAACAGTCTCTTTAAAAGCTCAGCGGTTGTCTATATTTGATTGGATCATGTTAAAGGATAAGATTTTTTCCGTCAAAATCGGACGCAGTCATGCAGACAAGATTGGCCAGGGTGGAGGCGCATGGCGAGCGGCGCCTCCTCGCCAATTCTACCGACCTACAAAAGGAATAGAGGACTCGGTATTTTGGAAATCGACGTAGCGATACTGTTGGTGGCGTTTTTCCCCCCAAAACTCAAAATCGGATTGCATATAGAATTTTACCGTGTCTCTTGGCCTTAGGAGGTCGACTACTTGAACTGCCACGGCATGTTGTCGGTTGGCGTCCGCTAATCTTGACAGGATTAGTGTGCAAATCACGTTTCCTAGCCTCTCGTTGTTAATTAATGCTAGTATATGAAATGGCACGACACCGTGACTGTTCCTATGCTTTATCGAGGACGACTGATGACTGCTATAGCTAGGAAGGCGACGTCGCCACTACTTAGATGGGGCGTTCGGTTTTAGTCGAGTGTTCGGTTCGGTTTATTCGGTTTGTGAAAGTTTCATTTTCCAGAGACTACAGACCGATCGGTTACTCAGGAAGTCTCAAACGAGGAGTTCTGTTTCGGTTTTTAGTTCGGTTCTTTGGTTTTTAAACGAACAAACCGATGGAAGCACAGGCGCATACTTGGCCATGCAGCACGAGGCACGATGGCACGACAGGAAGCACGAAAAAAAGCTCGACACGAACCTGGCATGGCCCGATGAAACTCGGGCCCGGGCTGGCCTGGCCCGCTGCTCAGGCCGTGCTTGGGCTGACCCCCAAGCCCGTGGGCCAGCACGGCCCAGCACGAGAAATGGAGAGAGGCTCAACAGCAGACCGAGGCAGCCAGCCCCCCACCCCACAACGGCTACTCGCCACCGCCAGCCCAACGGCCATTTTGGCCCATCATCAGCCCACACTCGGCCCGTCCCTTCATATATAAGGGACACGCCGTGGTCGCCGGCCGCCCCCTCTCCTCACCTAACCCTAATCAGCTAATCCATTCGACTCCACCCGCCGTGCAGCGCCCACACCGCTCTCGTCTTCGCCTCGCCTTCGCCGCGCCGCCGTCTCCTCGGCGTCCGACCTCATCGACTCCGATGACCTTGATCTGCCTTCCACCGCCGGCCAGCCTTTCCCTTCTCCTCCCTGATCTCCTTCCTCTCCCTTCCCCTCTTGGTGATATGTGAGTTCGTGTTGCTATCAGTGTCATCCCTCCTCCGCCGCTCGCCGTCCTTGGTAACGGTCTATCATCTTCTCTACGGGGGTCGTCGTCTTCTCCGGCATCGGGCTCCGGTTGCGCAGGTAAACCCTAACCCTAACCCTAGCATCTTCTTTCTTGATCTAATTCTGTCATCTGATGTGTTTCTTGATCTGCAGGTCGGTAGCCGATGCTTCCTCTTCTAGCTGTGGCGTAGAGCGAGCTCGACGGCCACCCACACCGTCGAGGAACAGGGCTGGGGCTGTCACTGCCATGGAGGATGACGATGCCGTCCTATCGGGCATGGCCCCCGAGGGCGAGGACGACGACGACCTCTGAGAGGACGCAACTGCCTTGTTCGGTGTCGATCTCGGAGCCAGCCAGGCTCCAATCGATCTGGACGGCGGCGGTGGTGAAGGGGCGACGACGGCTGGGACTGGCTCCAACACCAACAGCTCTGCTCCATCTGTTTTTGGTAATGCAACCAGAGTTGGTAAGTACAAATCTCCTGTCTGGGATGACTTTGATGAGATCTATGAGGATATGAACGACAGTAGAATTTGCACTAAAGCTGTTTGCAAAATGTGTAAGGCTACTTTATCTGCTAGATCTATTTCTAGAACTGGGCACTTGTAGAGGCACCAGAAATCATGTATGGAAAAAACTAATCGACGTGTTGCTGTTCAGTCTAGGCTTGTGCTTAATCCTGATGGTTTGCGCAACTGGGGCTATAAACCTGATGTAGCTAGACAGGAGCTGTGTCGCTTGATTGCTAGGCTTGATCTTCCTTCAAGTATTGGTGACACTGATGCATGGGAGGAGTACATTCAACGTGCTCATAACTCTATTTTTACTAGGGTCTCCTGGCAGGCCACCACTAGAGACCTAAGTAAGTTATTCACTGAACATCGTAATATGCTTAAGAATCATATTTTGCGTGGTGCTTCATCTGTTGGTTTGACATATAACATTTGGTCTGGTAATGCTAAGGAGGACTACTTCAGTGTAGTTGCTCATTTTGTGAGTGCTGACTGGGAGCTACAGAAAAAAGGTAATTGAGTTGAGATTGATTGAGGTGAAGCATACTGGTCAGAACATTGCTGAAAAAATTGGTTCTGTGATTGAGGAATTTGGTTTGATTGACAAGATCTTTTCTGTTACTCTAGATAATGCTTCTTCTAATGCAAAAGCAATGGAAACTTTGACATCTTTATTTGCAGGATACTTGGGTTTTGATCTAGCCCCTACACCTTCTCATCATAATAAAAGAACTTATCACCTTGTTCATCAACGTTGATTTGATTGGGGAAGAATATTTGGAGGCCCTGGAGCCTCTGGTGTTATTGGTCCATCCTCTACCTCAACTTCATCTGCTGCATCTATTGGTTGTGAGCTCGCAGCTTACCTGGACAGTGACAATGTCACTGCATATGAAAATGACTTTGATTTGCTTCTTTGGTGGCGTGACCACAAACTAACATTTCCTGTTTTATCTATAATGGCAAAAGATATAATGTCTGTTCCAATGTCTACTGTGTCTTCAGAATCATGCTTCAGCTTGATAGGAATGATACTTGAAGAGCGGCGCCGACGCTTGTTGCCAGAACATGTGGAGATGCTTGCTTGCATCAAGGATTGGGAG